GATAAAAACGACGGTGAAAAGGCGTTGATCTCTCTCAAAACTCGTTTTCTTGTACTTCGAAACAACTTTTTGCCATACATTTCCTTCTAGCGACTAGCAATGTTTGCCCCCTGACGATCCCAGAGTTCTTCGCGCAAACACAGGTATCCGATTACTGGCAACTCATTCATTGCGTTACGTGTAAATTTCATGTTAAATGCAAATGCAAAATAGTGCTCATGTACCAGCATGCAAAACTTGAAATGTATTAAATTACTGAAAACTAACCTTTTGGACAGAATTGAAAAAAAAATTACCCAGGCTGTGTTTGCTCACCTGGGTAATTCTGACTATTTTAATGCACAGAACTGTGAGTTGCACCTGCATGTACTCTGCTACTTTAACAGAAAGGAAACGCTTACACTCAACAATAAAAGGGAAACAGCAGTTCAGGATTTCATTGCCTAAACATGAGTTAATTTAGCTTTTTTTGCCCGTTGACTTGAAACTTTTATTAGGAGAAATCTTTGTCTATTTTTCTCTTACTTATTTGCTGAACACGTAAGCACTAGCTGCCAAGACGTCGCAACAACGTCTGCTTTTCCTCAGTCACCGTCGGTTACTGAGCTGAATCATGCCTGATGAGGGGTTCAACTGTCGACAAACCTAGGTTGGCTTACTTTTGATTTAGTCGCCATTTACCGAGGTTTGCTACTTTGTTTACACAATTAAGAATTTCACTTCAGTAAAGTTAAAACAAGACCAAGTTAAACACAGGTTAAATTACAAATAACAATGATTACTAAGACAAATACAGCAAATTAAAAATTAAAAATACTAGAAAATAAGAAAAAGTGTATATTAGAATTTTAAGGTAAAAGGACATTTATACACATAGAAGTTAGGCTAAAAACATATTTTAAGAGCAGTTTTAAAGACGTTAACAGTGTCTTTCTTTCCTACATCAAGTGGAATCACATTCCAGAGCTCAACTCCACAAACTTAAAAAGAGCACCCCCCCCTCCCCCCCCGTCTTTAGTTTCCCTATTATAACATTCCGACGAGCACCAGGGACCACGGAGGGGGAGGGGCTGCTAGGGCTACAGCCCTACCACTTTTATTGCTGGGATTTATGTTCTAGGGCTCCAGTTGACATGTAATTAAATGCAAGATAANGGGAGGGGCTAGTAAGGCTGCAGCCTTACCACTTTTATTGCTGGGATTTATTTTCTAGGGCTCAAGATGGTGCACAAATCCAAGATAAATGGCAAAACACTGACCTTAATGTTCGTTTGTATTGGCCAGATTTTTTAGCACTACCACTCTGTGTTTTAGCCCTACCACTATAAAATGGTCTCCGCGGTCCCTGGTCTACAAAGCAATTTTTATGTGACAATGTTTATGTGACAAATATATTTGATCGTGTGGATGGCACAGGAAATATTTGTCAACAGTTCAAAGGTAAGTGTGCCAGTGGTGACACTGGACAGAAACAAGGTGGAGCTGCTTAGCGGTCCCCCAAAAATGTGGTGCTTAAGAACGTATTTGCCACATTTTATGTGACGAGTTGTCTACACGAGCAATTTTTCATACGTGACAACTTTTACTTGTCACATAAAGCTAACAAACCATTTTTTTAGCCAAAATTTTTATTATGTAAAAATTGGCAAATTTTCCTCATCTAAATGAGTAAATAAGAATTGTCTCATAAGAACTGTCACATAAAAGTTGGTAGTGTAGACCAGGCTTAATTCCTATTGAGTCACCATACATGGTAAAAATTCTCTTTTGATTATATTTATTGAAAACTGGATCATTCAATAAACAAATGCAGTTCCTTACTGAGTGTTTGGCAGTGACTTGCAAATCAAGCAAATGATGTTTTGACATCAAAGTAATAATAATGATAATGATAATGGTAATGATAATGATAATGATAATGATAATAATAATA